AATTACAACTACTAAATTTTTTTAATTTCCATATCACCATTTTTTATTTAAAATGTATTCTTTTCTCTCGCTTCGTCCGCCATTACTAGCATAAAAAAAATCTCCGGTCGGGCCGTAATGCATTATGGGATATGCTGGGCCGGGAAGGATCCATCGGACCTGTCCTTCGATTCGGGCCAAAGGAAGGAAGTATTTGTCGGCCGCATCGGAGGTGTCTTCGGTTTTGGACGTCCTTCGTCGCGGCGCTGTGACGTATGCGGCCGACAAACTCGACCTTCGGAGGACCCGTGCTGCCGTTTTGGACACAGCCCTTATGTAGTCGTAAACCCCTCTACTAAACTAGAATGGAACATTCTGGAAGCTGGAAGGGGGCGGGGCATGAAGCTCCTCATTTGGATTTAAAGAGACGGCATCAAAACRAGTCACACCTCAGAACAGGGCTGAAAGAGGGGCTTGTGGAGTTACAGTAAGAAGGAAATCAGACCAAAGCATTGCAGTTTCACTTTATACAGACGCCAACTGAAGGATTTAAATGTGGAAAAAGACGGATTTAAAAGCAGGTTATGTCTGAGCTTTTGATTATGTCTCACCGTTTGTTTTGGCTGCCGTCTCTCTGAGATGAGGTATCCTGGTGAAGGTCAGTGTCCAGAAGAATGCCATGCTGAGACAGCATCTGAGGGTTGTGTCCCGCCTCCTCTATCTCCTGCTGTTTTCCAACCTGCCACGGCAGACAGCAAACATAAAACAAACAGCAAACTAAATTAGAATAAATTATAATCCGAAATCAAAATATTAAAAAAAAATACATTTAGGGGTTAATCGGTTCACACCTGCGTGTAATAGGCAGGAGGAGGGGAGAAAAACTGGACCCCAGCCTCAGCCATTGTATTTGCAGCAGAGACTATATTTTTGGTGTACAGGCCAATGTGCTGGATCCCCGCTGCTCGGTGCTGCTCCAAAAACGTGTCGACCTGGTTGCGACCTAAAATAAACCAACACAGATGATGCAAATATGAGTTTCAATGCCATAATACGGTCCTCACAGTCAGAACGAATTAATCCACGTTTAACAAAAGGCAAAAAATGGCCTCCATGGATGAACAGAAAGCCAAAACTACTGCAAGTCTCGTCTAAAATTTTCCAAAAATATCTCGATTCCTATGAGACAAAAGTGGGACTTTTCAGAAGCTGCGCATCCCGTGGTGTGAAACTAACACTGCATTTCAGAAAAAACAACATCATGCCCACAAACAGTGGCGGTGTGATGGTTTAGAGCCTGGACGATGTGTAGTGGTTTGCAGCATCATTATGTACCTGATGCAGCAACATTGTGGCAGTTGCCTCGGGGGCACCGTTAATTAAACCATCTGGCAGATTTCTGAGTTTCACCTTGATGAGGGAGGGATTCTGCGATGACAAACTTGCAGTCAGGCTCGTTCTTATCCACGAGCGGCAGAGACAGGCCCGCTTCGCTGCATTTCCAGAACTGCATGGCAGTGAGGCGCAGTCCTACACCGTCCTGGTTTACAACGAAACCTTCATCCACATCTTCATTTCTGGAACAAATTTTTAAAAAAAATCAATTAGTGGACATTAGACATGCTTTTATTTAATATAACTACTATTTTCTTACCTCTCGATAAAAAATCTCTGGAAGCCAAAGAGCTTTTCGTACCACTGCATAACTTGGTGCGTTGTTTTTCTGGGACAGGCGTAAGTTATGTGGTCAAAATGTGTGACAGGACAAGGCTCGTCCTCTTCTTTTCCCGAGCTCCAGTCTCTTCCTGTGGCATGAAACTCTGGCAAAAAGACCCCCGCGTATTTGGTCTTGTCGATCAGCGTGTGGCACACGTTCCCCACAACCGACTTCACCACGGAGTAGGTGACAGCACCGTCCTCGTCCTCGACAGTGGTGGGAGGCACCAGGAAACTGCAGCCCAGCTCGCGGAGAACCTTGAACGACCTTTCCACATCCTCCACCTCGAAGCACACGTTCCTGACAGAGTCCACCGGGTGGTGATGGTGGCCATCGTAAAGACACGGCGGGGATTTGTTACCCTGCTTGAACTTCTCCGAGCTCGCTCGATGTAAATCTGCGAGATGTTTGCGGGTGACACCGTCCAGCCCACCGTCATTCATCTCCTTCTCCGCAACGCATCTCGGTCCTTCGTTCACTACAAAAACCGCCGCTCCCTTCCTGAAAGCCGTCTGCCTGGACCTGTCGGTTATCCTGGTGGCGAATAAGTTAAACTTGTATTTGGAGGCGAGGTCATAAATTAATTTTTGGCCATTACTAACCTGGAGCGAAACGTGGTGTAACCGGTGCAGGGGGACTGCCATGTTGGTTTTTTGACGTTGACAGGCCGCCGGAAGCACCAGATTTTGGTGGGCGGGGTTACACGGTTGACCCAATCAGCGCGGAGTCAGAGTTTGGCCTCGCTGAAACTACAAACACAAAAGTTTGGCAGGCCGTTGTAGCATATATTCATGCCACTCAATTTATTTTTAAAACCACCTATAATAACAACAACATTCCTTTTGGTACAACTTAGTGATATGCGTACTAATCAGAATTAGCATAGAATATATTCCAATTTCTACTATTAAGATAGTATTTCAATTGACTATTGACACTTACTTGATTTTGAAAGTCTTAAAAACATTTAATTGACTGATTTTACATTTGATAGGAAGATTAGTAGCCCATATTCACAAGTCAGTTTTGCAAAAATGTAATTTCATGAACCTAAAAAAAGCTTTGAACCCATTCACAAATATTTCAGAGATATCAAACAATATTTTAAACTACAACACTTTGAACAAATGATGTCCTCTCAGCATATGCCCCATGTTCACAATTATTGTTATTCTCAATAATAACAACGATTCTAATAATAACAAAAGTAAAAAAAAAAAAAAACAAAAAAAAAAAACCGTGTGCTTTGTGCATGTCAGAGTAATTCATGACAATTTGTCTTGCCCTGCTTCGTTTACACGTTCACGTTACGTTTATACAATTTTAAATAACTAGTTACCTACCTCATAAAGTTAAATATTTGTAACTTTAGCCAGGTAAATTGTTTCATAGCACATGAAGAAAATATTTTCATGGTAACTGGACATTTTAAACGGAAATGAGTTGTACTTGCTTTTTATACTTACATATTTAATTCACAAAATTAAAAAAAAATGTATTTTTGCTGTAAAATACAAATTAGCTCTGCTTGGATATATTCTAGCAAAAAAAATAAATAAACAAATAAATAAAAACAGGAAAATAAAACCAAATGTAATTCAGTAGATGCCAAAACTTTTGTTTTGTTCATGCATAAAAATGGGATTTCACAGTGGTGCAGAAAATTTCAGTGGTTCCTGAAGGCACCACGACGCTCTTGCTCATCCAATCATATGGCGAGTTCACCCAGATGATTGGTGACGAAGGCTGGCTAGCGTTTATTTTGGCTCTGCTTCTCTTTGGTGTTGCTATCGTCGCCATTAAAGTWGACAGAGGCAGCGCAAACCATGGAGAAATGCGGATTTATTTCATAATTTCAGATCTTCGGAAGGCTCGTAAATGGCTATCCTTTTTCTGCCAGAAGTTTTTGTGTCCGTAAAGGTAAACATGTGACCAAGCGAAGGATTCTAAACATTTCGGATTGGGAAAGGTTTGATTGAGCCGGAGGAGGAGGTGGGGTGGCACAGGGGAGGGGGTGGCTGGACTAGAAGGGTTTGTTGTGGTTTTCCGCAGCACTTGAGACGAACAGTCACGAAACGGTAAGAGGTAGCATATTTTTTCTTCTATCACTCAAAATTGTTTTGTGTTTTCTCCCGTGTTATTTAAGTGTAATGTTAGCTACGAGGGTAGCTTGCTAGCGAGCTAGCTTAAGCTAATGAGGCATCAAATGCACACTAGTCATGTGAAACAATTGTGTTATTTACTCTCAATACTTTTGGTGATTATTCAGCTCATGTTCTATTTCATTCGCGTTAAACTCGCCAGCTTCTCTTTAAAAATGTAGAAACTGCTGATTTATGTTTGTATGTTTTGTTTTAAACTGACCACATAATTGCTAGGCTTGGGCACAGTACTTTGAGGTATTATTGGACCTGAAAACCACTGTAAGCATGAAAAGAAATTGTGTTTTGAAATTTATTAATATTCTAAAATAATCTTACAGTGGTTCAAATCATGTCTTGTATGTTGTGAACAGTGTTTTGACTGAGAAATGTCCTACGTTTACAATCTTAAAGGTGTTCCTCAAGGCTCAGTTCTTGGTGCTAATCTTAACAGTTTATATATTAATGAATCACGGGCTTTTTTTTTTTAACACATGGAGTATTCATTTTAAATTAAAACGCACACAGTTTCCAAAGAGACATTTCTTTTGAGTAGTTATGATTGACTTCTGTTTCCCTTCTCTTTGTGTGATGTAATTGTACTTTTTCTTTATTTGGTTTTGCATTGTCTTTTAACCAAATGGCCCATATAGAGATTGATATTTAAGCTCTAATTTCTGTATTTGTGTGATAAACTTATGTCTGGATGTAACCCAGCAGGAAACAAAGCTGCCCACAATGACTGAACCAAAGGTGAAGTGGGCCTGTGACTACTGCACCTATGAGAACTGGCCRTCTGCAATCAAGTGTACAATGTGCTGTGCACCGAGGCTGACGGGTCCCATCATTACAGAGGAGCCTTATAAAAACAGCCCTGATCCAGATCCCAGTCTAAAATGGGATCCTTCAAGAACTGAGAATGGAAGCAGTCTTCTTATCTGTACTGACTCCAGTGCCAGACCCAGAGTCAGGTCCTCCAGCATGGCCGAGATTGCTAATAAGTGGTCTTGTCAGATGTGCACCTATCTCAACTGGCCTCGTGCCATTCGTTGCACGCAGTGTCTGTGCCAGCGCCCCAGGACCAGCAGCCCCACAGAGTCCCCTCAGACTTCAGGCTGCCGTCCTGCTGTCCACTCCCCCGTGGACACGTGTGAGGAGTACAATGACAGAAACAGACTCAACACACACCAGCAGCACTGGACTTGTACAGCGTGCACTTACCAGAACTTGCCCAGAACTACAAAGTGTGTCGCGTGTGACCTCCCCAAGCCCAACAACCAGGAGCCCATAGAGCTGCCGGAGTCTGCCGAGTCCTCTCTCCTGATCATTGAGCAGGATGTGGCTCGTTGGAGGGGCGGCTGCAGTGGAAGCCAGAGCCAGAGGAGATCCCCTCCGATGGCTAAGAGGGAAGACCACGTCAAGATGGATTTCCAGAGGATAGAGCTGGCAGCTGGAGCCATGAGCAAAGAGGAACAAGAAGTCGACTTCAAGAAGCTGAAGCAGATTAGAAACCGAATGAGGAAAACAGACTGGCTGTTTCTCAGTGCCTGTGCTGGTAAGTGTTTGCACTTTTTGCCATCCTGTTTTTAGAAGGGATTTAATTGGCTCAATTCATGCAAAATGGAGCCGTGATATTGAAGGAATGCTTGTTGCCTGCATGGGCAAAAACATTGCTGCTCTGTCGTTGCCTTCAGCGGCGGCTGAAATGCCCAGCTGAAGACTCAAAAACCTAATCCAACTTACTGCCAAGTCCCTTTCTGTTCTTGATGTGCCTCTGAGAGCATCGTTGAGAACCTGAGAGTGGGTGAGTGCTTCCCAGCTGGTGTGGATGAATGGGCCGTCTGGGCTGCGCAATGAGACTGGAGCCTGTGGACCAGAGTCTCGCCTGGCTCCGAGTCAACACGCCCTGTAAACAGTGGTGCTTATGTTCTGAGCAGGGGCCTCACAGAGGCAAAAATAACTCTGACAAATTATGAGAATCTGTCAAAAGGAAAAAGAAGGCAGCACGTGATCAGCTGTACACTCATGAACTTTGCACTGATTGCACTTCATAGATTGCTGTTGGGGGTGGGGTACCTGTTTTTACAGATAGACATGACTTTTAAACGTTCTTGTTTTTTATCATCCACTGCCAAAGGTGACTGCAAGAAATTTGGTAGACATCTCCCACACTTGTGGTCAGTTCCCAGATGGTCACAATAGTAAAGCAAATTCGGCAAACACAAAAATGGCTACAACGCAGTCAACTGAGCTACAAATTTGTTGTTTTTAGCTTAGAATCTTTCCAAAATTAACTTATAAAGGGTAACTGAACATGTGAGATCTGTGTTTAAAACTTTTTGATTGGTAGTAGCTGTCATTTACAACATACATTACAAGAGCTGTTCAATGTCTGATCAAGTGTGAAATCCTATTAAATGAAATTATACATAATACAATGGTTTCACTGAAAAGAGCACAACTTCTCATCATAAGAAGATCTTCGATTAAAACTGACATGAACAGTGGTGAGAGAGATGAATAGTTTGAAGGGGGATATTGTGTGTTTTCCAGACACATTGGGCCTCATGCAAGAACATGTTTGTATTCTTATCCTAAATTTCTCTTACTTTTGTTTGGACGAAGGGTTCGTACGAACATG